GTCCTGTGAGTGCCCACTGACTACCCCTTCCTATGGATGCCCACTGACTGCCCCCCACATACGGATGTTTACTCTCTGCCTTTTACTGTGGGTGCCCACTGGCTGCCCTGTCCTTTAGTGCCCACTGACTGCCCATAGTGTAGGGGCGGCTGCTCCATCATATCAGGTGCCCACTAACCTGTCCTGCGGGTGCTTGCTCCACCTTGTCAGAGGCTGACCTGTGGATGCCTGCTGGCTGCCCTGTGTTATGGGTGATTGCTTTGTCCTGCCAGTGGCTGCCCATGTCTATTTGTGCCTGCTGACCACCATATCCTGTAGGTGCATGCTGTGTCCTGTGCATGTCTTCTTTGTCCTGTCAGCTGTGTTGTCTTTCGGGTGCCTGCTTTGTCCTCCCCCCCCCCCTTCTCTAAATCAGTGTCGTCTTCTTCGGTTCCCTTGCTTGTCAGCCGACTCAGCAAGTTACCCAAAGATTCGATTCATGAATCGGTTCTTTTGAATGAACTGGTTCAAATGAACCGATTCATTTGAAAGATTCGAACTTCGCATCTCTACTCACATGTGAGAAGGACGTCTGCGGCGCTGAGCAGAGGAGCTTCGCGTCACTGCTGTGGACGGAGCTCCAGGTGGAGTCCTCTGGGCAGTCGCCGGCCACCTACATTAGGACCCCACATAGAGCTCCGCCCACAACAGTGACGCAACGCTCCTCCGCTCAGCCTGCCCAGAGGACCAACTACAGAAGGTAAAGTAAAAAAAAAAAAAAAAACAGCGCAAGCTTCGGCGCTAGGCATCGGGGCATTTTGACAAGTACTTGTCAAAATGCCCTGTATCGGTCCCGATTCCGATGCTAGCATCGGTATCGGGACATCCCTACTGTATATGATTTTTTTCTATCCTTTACATGCAGGTCAAGCTGAAAAAAGATGTAGATGTAGGTTGGGACAAATTACTAGGGATGTCCCAATAACGATATTGGGGCCGACACAAGTCATTTTCATGAGTACTGTTACTCGTGAAAATGCCCCGATACAAAGCACTGGCTCTTTACATTTTTAAATAGGTTCGGGCTGCTCGTTTGCTACAAGTGATCCAACTGGATCACTTGTACAGCAGCCTGTTCGTCTGTCGTCACCTCCCCTCCGAGCTGCGGTTTTTGGGCTCTCCCACTCTTTTGGGGACCCGGGACGACGGCAGATGTCTTCAGGATGGAGGGTGGGACCAGAGTGGAGAACGTCCGTTCTCAGATCTGCTGTGATCAGTGACACAGGAGCGCTGTATTCACAGCGCTTCCTGTGTCAGCTGTCACAACCTGAGCTGTACAGAAGATATAGCACAAAGCTGTATTGTCTAATGGCACCACAGTCGCGCGAAGCAGATTGCGCAGTTTCCTGCCGTGACAACGCCCGTGCAATCACACATAATCGCGATTGAAAACATTCAGAGATTACCACGCGGATATGACCCCATTGAAATCAATGAGGCCGCGTGGCAACCGCACACGGCCTCACCCAAGTCTGCACCTGCCCCAAACGGTAAATTCACTTTCCCAAGTAATTTGGGAAAATGGAATTACCTGCACAAATCTGGTACAGACTCCCCCCAACCCCCCCCGCTATACTTACCTTTCAGGGAACGGTCCTTCCCATCCGCCAGTATGGGTGTACTATCTGTACCTCTGCCATGTAATCTGAATTTCGCTCTCAAAATTCAAGCACTCGTTGGACAGAGCAGTCATCTGACGGCACTGACCAACAAGAAGCTCTACTTGGCATTGCTAAATACGGTTATGGTTACATTTTTTTCTTTTTTTGTATCAGGACAAGTAGATTTTCATGAGGGACAAGTAGATCAGACCCCGCTTTAGTCCTTGGACAAGTAGTTTTTTTTTTTTAAATTTCCACAACCCTGTTCTAAGCACGGTCAAATACGGTTTTGATTGAAATTATTTTTTGTATCAGGACAAGTATAATCATGGATTGAGTTACAGCTCCTCATAATTAGTCTGTATTGTTTTAGAAAAAAATCCCACAGGTACCTTTAAGAAAAAGTATCGGTAATTGGCATTCAGCAAGTACCTCAGGGAAAGGACCTGTACTTGGTCTTGAAAAAAATGGTATTGGAACATCCCCAACTATTACATCACAGAAAAAAAAACAGCGTTGTCACTATTACAGGAAGTGGAAAATAGCAACAGACCAGGTAATAAAATTGTGTTACTGAAGGACTGAGGGGAAAACAAAAAAAGTACAACTGTGTTAATACTATGAACAGACTGCAGCATACGTGTCATTTCTGACTATCATTCTGCTCCTGATGACAGCCGTTACACCTTTTTTAGGGCAGAGTTTCAACAAAAACAAGCAGAACGATGTAAGAAAAACAGTTCTAAACTGAGATCCAGCCACTGTGAAGAAACCAATTTCCCTTTGGAAAGCATGAAGGCTCATTCCCACCAGGTCAGCTGCTAAAATGCATGGAGACTGGTGTCTGTTGTGTAGTGGTGGTGCTTTGTGTGGTCACAATGCAAGGCATTGTTTATTTTTTTCTCTTAAGAGTCACATCTGTGCATGGGATCGCCTGTACCTTCTTTTTGAGCAAAGTCGCCCATTTTTGGCTCCACAGGCACACCCCATTAACACCTAAACCTTTTGTGTGTTTCAGAGACAACACTCAACATAAAGAATCCCATTATTTTCAACGGTGTCTGTTCATACCTCAGCGTTGTGCCGCTTGTCTGTTGTACATGAGCTGTTTTCAGAAAGAAAAGACTTCAAGGGGGGCACCTAAAAAACAGACACATTTCCTCCTCCTCCTAACTAGCTTTCAATTGGCTCAAACTAAAAACACTTAAGGCTGAAAGAAATTGGAAAAACCTGAAAATGCTCATGCTGAAGTGTGAATGTAGAGTGAGCCGCCGCCGCCACCCCCCCCCAAAAAAACGTTTGAAAACGATCACAATGCAGTATGAATAGGGGATTCCACTGAACAAACCCACCAGCACCATGTCCTCTATCCACCATTGTGAACACCGCTGCATACGCCGTCGTGACCGCCATACTGCACGTTGCAGCGTGCGCCGTCGTGACCGCCATACTGCGCGTTGCAGCGTACGCCGTCGTGACCGCCATACTGCGCGTTGCAGCGTACGCCGTCGTGACCGCCACACTGTAAATCAATACGTACATCGTGTCAGCCATTCTGTACGCCGCCGTGTCAGCCATTCTGTACATCTGGCTTTTGCGATGAAACAAGCAGTTTTGCATGGCACAGAGTCTACAATGCCCCAACATGTATTCTCCATAGGAAATAGACACTTACCACACTTTGAAAAGCCTATGCTATAAACATGCCGGAACATTATTGCATAGGACCTGTACTTGGTCTTGAAAAAAATGGTATTGGAACATCCCCAACTATTACATCACAGAAAAAAAAACAGCGTTGTCACTATTACAGGAAGTGGAAAATAGCAACAGACCAGGTAATAAAATTGTGTTACTGAAGGACTGAGGGGAAAACAAAAAAAGTACAACTGTGTTAATACTATGAACAGACTGCAGCATACGTGTCATTTCTGACTATCATTCTGCTCCTGATGACAGCCGTTACACCTTTTTTAGGGCAGAGTTTCAACAAAAACAAGCAGAACGATGTAAGAAAAACAGTTCTAAACTGAGATCCAGCCACTGTGAAGAAACCAATTTCCCTTTGGAAAGCATGAAGGCTCATTCCCACCAGGTCAGCTGCTAAAATGCATGGAGACTGGTGTCTGTTGTGTAGTGGTGGTGCTTTGTGTGGTCACAATGCAAGGCATTGTTTATTTTTTTCTCTTAAGAGTCACATCTGTGCATGGGATCGCCTGTACCTTCTTTTTGAGCAAAGTCGCCCATTTTTGGCTCCACAGGCACACCCCATTAACACCTAAACCTTTTGTGTGTTTCAGAGACAACACTCAACATAAAGAATCCCATTATTTTCAACGGTGTCTGTTCATACCTCAGCGTTGTGCCGCTTGTCTGTTGTACATGAGCTGTTTTCAGAAAGAAAAGACTTCAAGGGGGGCACCTAAAAAACAGACACATTTCCTCCTCCTCCTAACTAGCTTTCAATTGGCTCAAACTAAAAACACTTAAGGCTGAAAGAAATTGGAAAAACCTGAAAATGCTCATGCTGAAGTGTGAATGTAGAGTGAGCCGCCGCCGCCACCCCCCCCCAAAAAAACGTTTGAAAACGATCACAATGCAGTATGAATAGGGGATTCCACTGAACAAACCCACCAGCACCATGTCCTCTATCCACCATTGTGAACACCGCTGCATACGCCGTCGTGACCGCCATACTGCACGTTGCAGCGTGCGCCGTCGTGACCGCCATACTGCGCGTTGCAGCGTACGCCGTCGTGACCGCCATACTGCGCGTTGCAGCGTACGCCGTCGTGACCGCCACACTGTAAATCAATACGTACATCGTGTCAGCCATTCTGTACGCCGCCGTGTCAGCCATTCTGTACGCCGCCGTGTCAGCCATTCTGTACGCCGCCGTGTCAGCCATTCTGTACATCTGGCTTTTGCGATGAAACAAGCAGTTTTGCATGGCACAGAGTCTACAATGCCCCAACATGTATTCTCCATAGGAAATAGACACTTACCACACTTTGAAAAGCCTATGCTATAAACATGCCGGAACATTATTGCAAACTACTTTCCGCACTTCCCTACCTATCACACAGAACCGTACGTGGCCCAGAACCTGCACACAGCACAGATCTGCTCACATTACCCCTGCGGGTGTAAGGAAACACTGACGTCGTGGCTCATGGCCTGCAGCGTGGGGCCACCTGCCAGCGAGCAGTGCTTAATAGCCCCTTCCACGTATCATAGGAAACCCCCGGCGGGAGCATACGAGGTAGTTACCACAGTGACAGACTACACAGGCCGCGAGGATAGAGAAGGCGGGGGGAAGACATACACACACAGCGCCTGAGCAGGCCGCACACCACTCACCAGATAGATGTCAGCCCGTCCCCGGCTGCTACGTGCGTAGATTCGAGCCACCGCCTCCTCCCGTGTTATGAGTGCGAGATAGGCACGGGCCACATTTACCCCCGGGCGAGGATTCGGCTCACTCACACACACACCTTACACTAGCACAGGCCACATGCCCAAGCTGAGGCAGCGGAAGAAGCTGAGCACGACAGAACCGCACGGCGGCGCTCTACGGCCTAGTTCAAAGCACAAAAACAACCCTCGCCATCTTGCTTGCCAATTAGGGAACGACTTGCTCTTGAAGACCAATCACTGTCGCCGCTACAAAGGACACGCGATGATTGACATCCTAGATGTTGCGCGTCATTCCCGCGAGAACAGGCGGGGCCGACGCCACTCAGCTCTGACGTCAGTTATGAAAAAAAAGTACGGGTGCGTTTCAAGTTCATTTCAGTTTCCTTTCAGCTATATTATCAACCTGGAGTCTGCGCCCCCTGCTGGCTGCATGAGATTTATGCAGTACTACAGTGCCTCCTACTGGCTACACGAGGTACATGCAGTAGTCGCAGGCTTTCTGCTGGCTACACGAAGTAAAAGCAGTAGCTACAGTGCTGGCTGCATGGGGTATATGCAGCAGTTGCAGTGCCTCCTGCTGGCTGCATGAGATATATGCAGTATTACAGTATCTCTTCTAGCTGCACTTGGTATATGCAGTCGACACCAGTGTGCTGTAAAGCTCACCTGACCATTAGTGTTACCATAATGGAAGGTAATGCATGTTATGCATGCTGGTGCGATGTGGTGCCATTCATTTTATATGTTACTCCAATGCACCCCTCTAGCACACCTGTGTTGCAGCTCAGTGCACTATCTTGTGCTGCCGAAGAATCTGTAGGCACAACTTCTGGTCTGCTGCGGTGCGTGAGGCACTGCATTTAAATGAATGGGCTGCCTTAACGCAACACAAATGCATTGCACCACAACAGACCCAGGTGGGAAGGGGAAGCAGGTAGCTATACCATGCCCAGCATGTGCCACTGACTGGGTCTTACTCCAACTGATATCTGAATCTGAAGTATCTCCTGCAGTCCAACATATCCTATTAGTACTGTCCCAGGGGGAGCGGTGGTTACTTTCCAGCACGTTTGAAGCGGTGGCTACTTTACAGCACACACAGGGACCATGGAGAACAAAAGTAGCCACCCTCCAGAAGGAAGGACAGTGTCGGCACCAATTCAGAGATGATTTGAGGATCTACAGCCGAGTGATACACAAATAAGATACATTTTTGTTAATAGTTCAAGTACTAAGATAGTTAAGATACGTTTTCAGAACACGCCGGCGTGTTCTGCGCATGCCCGTCGCTATCTTGGAAGCGGAGCGTGTGACGTCACATGATGGTAACGTCACACGCGGAACAAGCAGTGTCTAGATCGCCCGCCGGCACATTCTGTGCATGCGGGCCCCCATTTTGTAGTAGATCTTGGTCGACACCAAGATGGCGGCGCTCAAACATACTGATACGGCCGACACTCGTTCTGCGGATTTAGTGTATGGTTTCGCTGCCTCCGAATCCGAAACAACATAAAAACGTTCGGGTCTATTCACTACGCTGCCATAGACAGCCGAGTGAATGCCCGACCTAAAGCGAAGTGAGCCGAACAGTGTTCGGCTATTCACTTCCGGCTGGTACGGCTGATTTCAGCCGTATATCGGGTGGCTTCGGGTCGGCCGAACATGCTCAGCATGTTCGGCCGACCCGAAGTGCAGAAGGAGTTCGACTCAGCCGATCCAACATCTGGATTGGCTGACTGGAACCTCCGGAAGGCGACTCGCTGCTGTCCGGTCTATTCTCATAGATGCCGAACAGCAGTGAGTGAATAGCCAAATGCCGCCGAACGGCATTCGTCTCGGCTGTTCTGCTCGGTCTCTCTGTGGGACTGAGCAGAACAGAAAAACTGTTTAAAAAGTAGAAAAATAAAAATTGAAAACGATTGTGCGGAGCTAGCAATGAACAAAAAAAACAAATAAAAAAAAAAAAAGCCTAACTCTCCCGGGCGCTCCGGCAGTATCCCGCCCCCGGCCGCAAAGGAGAGAAACATTGCTTTTTCTTTTTTTTCTTATTCTGACATAGAGCCGTGCTGCTGTCAATCAGTAGTGGACCTGATGGAGAACTGCAGCAGAGGGGTGCAATACATGGGTATTGGGTGCAATGCTAGTTTGCTATTGCAAATTGAAATAGCCAATAGGAATCTAGCAATGCATCCCTATGGCCAAAAATTGATTTATTTTTTTTCTATTCTGACACGGCTCCGTGTCAGAATAAGAAAAAAAAAAGAAACAGCAGTGTTTCTCTCCTTGGCGGCCAGGAGCAGGAGACTCCGCTCCGGGAGAGTTTGCTCTCTGGAGATCAGTGTCCCTGGTTAGCAGGTAACCAGGGACGCTGATCTCTCTGCAAGTGGCCGGAGCCAGCCGTAAGATCACGGCTTGCTCCGCCCAGCTGTCAGAAGCAGGCTGTCGGCCGGCTGCTCGGCCAGCTGCGGCTTTCAGTGCGGTTCAGCCGAGCCGAGGCATATGCGTTCAGCTCGACTGAGCAACTCGGCCAAGTTCGGGAGCTGTTCGGTCCTGGGGCCGAAGCTAGCTGAAGGATCGGCCGAAGCTACGGCTAGATCCTTCGGCTGCTTCGTGAATAGACCCCTTTGTTTCCTTTGACAAAACAAATGAAAACATTTTTTGTTTTCATTTGTTTTGTCTGGGAATGAATTCTTTTGTTGTGCACGTGTCTAAGGCTAAGTATAAACTGATCTGAGTGATTGCCTTTATTTATTCAGGAAAAGGATGAAATCTGAAATTAAAGATGTGCCTGGCCTCTGCTTTGTGTGGTCCCATCATCACTTTGTTGTGGAGCCAATCCCACCTACTACCTCCACGCCCAGCATTGCTGCCTCTGCATTTACTTCCAGGAATATCCCTAATTTTCATTTTTACTATGAGTATATGGGGGTGTGGGGAATGTGGGTTATAGTATGAAGTGTTTTTGTGCACGCTGTTTTTCAGTGGCACGTTTTTTCGGTACTGCAAACAAAAGGTAGCTTTCCAAACATGATGTCAGCAAGAAATTTATGGTGTACTTCTATCACCCCAAAATTAAAAAAGGCCCTATCAATTTCTTTATGGACAAATCAGAAGCACAACTTACTGCTGCACTCAGATCAAAAACAGTGACATTGTCCGTGACAGTAAAAGCTGTACCTGTAAAAAAGATTGTAAATATTTACTTCCTTTGCCCACGCAGCAAAATGCCATTCAAGAGAAATCCTCTGCTGAAGGCTCTCCTGAATCTGACATTTCCGGAAGTGTCAGTTTCCTGTGTCCTTTGCTGCACTTGGTGTTTTTTTCCGCAAACCCCTACTGTATGTCAATAATGTGTTCTGGATGGTGCTGTTGTATATCCTGTGGACTCAGCCTTTGCATGTTGTACATGTGCTGAAACTGAACTGAAACCAACATTTTTTGGGTTGGGTTTGGATAGAGTAAGGAAGGGTTATAACCGCTCTCAGACTTTTTTTTTTGCCATCTGTGCCCTATTGGAGAGTTTTCCCTTTAGTTCCTGTGAGAGGAAATCCCTCCAAAGACAGAGAAATCCCTGGTTGTCAGCAGTGTCACCAGAACTAGTGTCCCCATTGGAAGATTTCCCATCTATTCCTGTTCTAACGACAACTACAAATATGGGATTCTCTCTCACTTTAAAAAATGTTAGTGAAAACAATCAGCAGGGCAAGTAGAGAGGGAGAATCTCCCTAATTGGGACAAAAACAGCAAAAAAACCTGACAGGTTTTCTCAGGGCCGTCCGCAGAGGCCAGGCAGCATTTCCTAGGGTCACGTGGAGGGTGGTAGGTGTGCCTGCCGCCCCCTTTGGGCCAGAGCATTCCAGATTGCTAAGGGTTCTTAGCAACCTGGGATGCTGTGGCCGGTATCCCACTTACCTCCTGGCAACCAGTGATGCCAGTGAGCTGAGCGGGACACTGGACAGAGCCAGGGCCAGACTCGAGGTATAGTGGCAGCAGCAAGCAACCCCCCCATAATGTGCACCATCAGCACCCCCCATAAGGTGAACCACCAGCTGCAAGTTCCCCGCAACTCCCCCATAACATGCGCCATCCACGCACCCCCAGGTAACATGCAGCATATGCACACACACAGTTCACTCCCCCCGCCTCAGGCAGCAATAAGTCTAGGTACAGCCCTAGGTGTTCTAAACCCTCTCCACCGAATCCAAAACTGAAAAAAAAAGTTTTGGCTGCTGTCGTACTTGAATGAAATGCCCCTGTGCTGAGAGTCCTGGACCACTTTGAGTTTCTGTTGTGTTTCACCCACATCTCAAGTAGTAAAATATATCACCAGCATACCATGGTCAGATCTTCAGAAAGTGACTATTTTATTGATGCACACACATCTTGTCACATTGCAATGTTTCGGGGCCACTCGGGGTCCCTTCCTCAGTCATGACAAAGTGTTGTCTTCCTCAGGCATGACAGAAGCTGCGCCATCCGCAGTCACTACAGCACCCAACGCAGGGGACATTCCAGTAAGGAGTGTGGTAGGATTCTCCTGTGTCACCCACATCTCAGTCACAGCACTAGACCATAATTCCCATGAGCCCCACCACCAACAGATCTCAGTGTCTGAGAACTTAAATCTTATAGTGAATCTGGCCATAGCTATGTAGATTGTATTAAAAGATTATAGGCACTATAGATTATTGGCAGAGAGATAAGTTTTGCTGTATTCATTGGTGCAATTGTTCTAAGTTCACACCAGCCACAGTGCGTACCGGCCCGATTCTGGCCAGAATGCACTGGATCGCATTGCGCCTGGCTCACTTTGTTGTGGGGCGGGAGGGGCGTTGCGGTGCATTGAAGTGAATGGCACCACAGCCACGTCCTCCAGCCGGGAATGCGATCGGCTGCACGGGAACGTAAGGTACATCAACGCCTATGGACCGGTCCTGTCAGAAAAAATGCACATTTTTTTCTGACCGGATCGCAGGCATTGATGTGCCTCGTTTGCGGCTGGAGGGCGTGGCGGTGCATTGAAGTGAATGGGACCACAGCCACGTTCTCCAGCCGGAATGTGGTCGGGTGCACGGGAACGCAAGGTACATCAATGCCTATGGACCGGTCCTGTCAGAAAAAATGCACTATTTTTTCGGACCGGACCGCAGGCATTGACGTGCCGCATTTGCGGCTGGAGGGTGTGGCGGTGCATTCAAGTGAATGGCACCACAGGCACGTCCCCTCCCACCCCACAGCAAAGTGAGCCAGGCCGCAATGCGATCCAGTGCGTTCCAGCAAGAATCGGGCCGGAACGCACTGTGGCTGGTGTGAACTAGC